AGGAATGCCAATTGACTTGCATGGGCTACATTGAATCACATTACAGCACACAAAAACTGCAAGGAAATGTGCAATCGATTTTGAGAAACCCACCCTAGTCCTGGAATGAAAGCCTCCAGAGTGGAATTACCATTAAATGAGTACAAGTAGACTGCTCTAGGCCTAGAATAAAAGTCTCAATTGTAGATTCATGGTCCCTGAGGGTAAAAAAAGTGTGCTAGGACTAGAATGACAATGCCCAGAGTAGAATGACAGCCCCTGATACTAGAATCAGCACCCTGGAACAGGAATGGCATTCCTCCCTAGAGAGGAATTAAAGTCCCTGGGCCCAGATAAACTGCTCTGGTACAGGAATGATAGCCCCTAGACTGGAATGACTGCCTCTGGGACTGGTATCGATAGTCTGGGATTGAAATGACAGCTGCCAGAGTGGAATGATGGTCCCTGGAAGTAGGAAAAGTGTTCTGGGATTGGAAGGGCAGAAGACCTCTGCTGTCCCCAGGGGCTGTCATTCCAATTCCAGAATACTTGTGCTACTCCCAGGGACTATCATTCCACTCTAGGGGCTGTCTTCCAGTCCCAGACTATGGATTCCAGTCCCAGGTGTGGTCATTCCACTCTGGGGGCTGTCATTCCAATCCAAAAGCAGTCTACCTGGGCCCAGAGACCGTCATTCCACTCTGGAGTCTCTCATTTCAATCCCAGGGCAGGTCTCTCAAAATTCGTTCTGTATTTTTGTTGCAGCTTTTGTTTGCTACAATTTATTTCAATGGATCCCATCCAAGTCAGTTGGCATCCCTGGTTCCCATTATATCCAGTGGGCCTTCAGGCATCTCCCATTCTTCCCAAGGGGCATTCTTGTCATTCTTTTTAGTGCATCCCACCACATACCCATTGAAAAAAAGGGCTCCCCCCCACAAAGGAGGGAGGGAAGGAGCACTGTGGCTATATATGGTTTATTGCCAAAGATTACTGGCTGGAAGCTCTTTGTGCTCCTCCCTTGCAAGGATCTGACTAGAAGGGAGAAATGCCATTGGTCAAGAAACCAGAAGAACCAAGGAAAAACACAGGCAGTTACTGCAGCTGGCTAGCAGCTCCTGAGCTAAAAAATGATGCAAATTTCTTTAGGAAGGGGAGTTTTTGTTTAATTAAGAAAACTAGATTCCTAATACCATTCTAGAAAAAAGCAGCAATGACCTGAAACTGTGATTTCCATGCACACGCCTACTTACTCTGGCATAATACAGAGATGTGCTGGTGTACTGTTACACCAAAGCCATGCCTCTGTAGAGGCCAGAAAGGGGTGGTGCTGGAAGCTTGCTGGGATAGGAGCAGGATTTTATCAGAACCCCCAAGTTTCCTAAATCCACATCCTGCACCCAACATAATGTTACATTAGTGAAAAGGCAAACATTGGTGTAATTTCTCCCAATGAATCCCAACTAAGTCCCTCCACATGCCTCTCCCCACGCCTGCATAGTCACAGTGCAGCTTACCATGTTGACCTTGGCCAATTGCAATGCACCATAGCCCAAGATAAACCCATATCCCAGACGATAGGCATGTGGTAAGGAGCTACACTTCTCTTGCCTCATATCTGTCAGCAAGATGCCATTGAGTATTATATTGCTTGGAGTATGTTCCCTTCCCCCCCTGTTCCTTTCGCTTCTGTATTCTGCACCCTCCCGCTTCTTAGATGCCTGGAACAGCTCAAGGTTACCCAGCTGGGTTGTAAAGGAGTAACTCTGTTATCTGCTGCCTCGTTAGTGGTGTCTATGATCTATGAACCAAGGGCCTGTTTTGAGAAAGGCAAACTGTTATGTTCTCATGCAATTGCCTGCCAGTGCCTACCTTATTCGCGCCGGCGGGAAAGAGATCTATTGGTTACGGTTTGGTTCAATTCCCTTTATCATGGTCCCCTTTGGGGTTTGTGTCCATTCCTAAAAATTCTATTGTTCCTGCTTCTTTCAAACGCTTTGAAATAAATTTTGCTTTAACCTTTAAATGTGGATTTGTTTTGGAGACTTTGGAGATTCAACATTTTGTTAGAAAATCCTTCTTCCTCATCGTCCCGAGTCTGATTGCAATCATGAGCGGGACAGAGGGGAACGTACCTACCACGGTACCGACAACAGTACCTACGACGGTGCCTACGACAGTACCCGCAACGGAGGGGGACTTATTCGGAGTCCCGGTCACCTCAGCGGGCCCACTGATCACCACGGCGGCCGGCTGGGTCCCTACGACGAAAGGAACAGGGGGGGAAGGGAACATACTCCAAGCAATATAATACTCAATGGCAGCTTGCTGACAATATCATGCACACTTAGACCAGAAATGGTTGGTGCTGGAAGGGCCAACCTAGATGATACATTTTGCCACAAGTCGGGCCAGGATTTCCCTGTATCAACTCTGATCCTCTCACAGTCAGATGGCAGCTGCTGGAAACTAAATTTTCAAGCATGGTGGGGCTTATTTCAAATTGAGACTGTGGTATGGGAGGCTGCCATTTCCTTAATCCAAAACTTCCCCAGGAGGGTTATTTTCCCTGTTAGGAGCTGCATGTTTACAGATGGGCTACATGTGCACCCTGCCAACAGGGCAAATAATGCCCCCCCCCCAAGACTGTTTCAGGTTGAGAAGAATGGCACAGGAGGAAGGCTGAAGCCTCTCCTCTCCCCACACCCTGATTCCTGTCTGACTCAGGCCCCAGGGCACCCTGAAACTTAGTTCTCCATAGCTGCTGTCTGACTGTGAGGGCAGTTGGGTGTAGTGGTTAAGAGCACGGACTCTAATCTGGGAGAACCGGGTCTGATTTCCCACCACATGCAGTCATAAGTTCTTTCAGAGCCGTTCTCTCAAGGACAGTTCTCAAAAGAGCTGTCTCAGGCCCACCTACCTCACAGGGTGTCTGTTGTGGGGAGGTGTTGGGTGTTACAAGTTAAAACACTTTCAGTATTTACTGGGTTAATGATGTTTGTTAAGACACATGTTTGTTTGTAACCAATCTGTTTTAGGCAGTTAGAAAGCCCGGGAACTTCAGAGCTAGTTTGTTGTTCTGATTGGAAACCAAAGTGCCAAGTATTAGCATTTTATGGCTTCTCTTCTCGTCTTAGTGTTTATTTGTTCTGAGCAAGAAGAAGAAGCCGTCCATTCTACCATTTTCAGTTTAGCTGTAAGGATGTAGGAATATTAGCTCTTTGTTATTTTACATCCCGTGTACCTTTTCCCATGCTAGGTTGTAGTAAACTTTTATATTTTAAACACACCATGGACTCTGCCTCTTTAATACTCTGCTGATTTACTTTAAAATTAAGAATCCCAACAGGAGGGGAAGGGAAAGGGATTGTAAACTGCTCTGAGACTCCTTTGGGTAGTGAAGGGTGGGATATAAATTCAATCTCTTCCTCCTCCGTTAGAGTTGGATTGGGGGTTGGGGGCACCCTGACCCAACTCATGGCAAACCATATCATCTAGTTTGGCTTTTAGAATATGCACGAGGGGAGACTCCAGAGAAAAGGCCGCCTTGCACAAGAAGCCAAGGATGAGAACAAGCCTACAGCTAACATTTATCTGCTTGGAACCCTAGTGCTGGCGAAACACTCCTTGACCCCTTGTGCCTTGTGTTCCTTCCTTAATGCTGAACCTCAGAATAAGGAGGCAGCATTGTTTTAAACAGCAGCACAGATTGATAAATCGGGTTCTTTTTCTGTGTGGAGCTGCAGTAATAGGTTTGCCCACCAGCAGGCGGGCCCTGGAGATCTCCCAGAATTACACTTGATCTCCAGGCAACATAGATCAGTTCCCTAGGATAAAATGGCTATTTGGGAGGTTGGACTCTATGGTATTACACAGTGTGGAGGTCTCCCGCCCCCCGCAAACCCTGCCCTCTCTAGGCTCCACCTTCATTTCTCCAGGAATTTCCCGACCAGGGGTTGACAACCTTATTAACAATTTCCTTTTTCTTTTCAGCCTTCCTCCTTTTTTTTTTTGTATAGATATTTTTATTGTTATTATTATCGTTCTGATTATACATTTTCATATTCCATTATAATTTTACAGTTTTCCCCCATCCTCCCCCCCTTCCCTCCAGTCTGTTGTTTTTAGTCCTTTTCTCTCAGCCAGGGGCATAGTGTTTGGAGCTTCCACTGAACGTCATTCCCAGAGGTCATTTCGGGGGGGGGGAACACGGGGGATCGCAGTTCCCCCGGGTGAGGTGCGAGGGGGCGTGGCACATGATGAAGCCCCACCCCCTGCTTCCGGCCGCCCCGCTTCTGGCCCTCATTCAGCCAGGAGGCAGGAGAAGAGGGAGGGTAAGTTGCTTCCTCCCCGCCTCTCCCCACCCCTGCCTGCCTGGGGCCAGGGAGGGCCTTGGTGGGGCTTCCTCGCACTCCCGCCGGCCTTGCAGGTCCACCGCCGGGCCCCTGATGTCAGGGGGTGTGGCATATGCTAATGAGTTATGCTAATGAGTTCCCCTAGCTCTTTTTCTACGAAATGACTCCTGGTCATTCCTTTGTTCTTCTTTCAGCCTTCCTCCTGTGCCATTTTCCCAAACTGGAAACAGTCCTGTGGGCATTATTTGCCCTGTTGGCAGGGTGCACATGTCGCCCATCTGTAAACACACAGCTCCTAACACCACACCTTGCAGGATCAAAGCCCCACAGAGCAACACAAACGGAAGTCCTGCATACCTGTACATTTCTACAGCTTTCATGTCCTCCTCGTCAAAGTAATCTTCAGCTTCTTTGAGTTGTTTCAGATTCATCCTTTCATGTGGCTTCACTGAAAAGGAATGGGGTGGAATTACTGACGATCAGAAGCAAAGCTACTTTGGTAACCGAAGGCCAAAGACGAAAGTTACTCTGTCTTTTTATAGTTGCAAGAAAACAAGTGACCAGTTCAAGAGCCCGAAGGTAAAGGCGGTCATCAACAAAAGGCTAAGCCTGAAATCATACCTGCATACTGAAAGAACAGGCAGGTGGGATTGCTGTGGTTAAATCAGTCTTCCTGCATGGCCCTCTATCATTTCAGAAAGCAATATATGTAAAGAAAAACCGGGGATTAAATGATTATTATGAATTAATTTTTATTCTTCTGTCAGAGGTCATCTTTTTGAAGATGCTGACCTTCGCTTTAGTTTAATTAGCCTGGTGGGATAAGGGAGGGAGGGAGGGATGGTTGGTCGGTATTCATTGGTGATAGAAGACCTGCATTATATATATTTTATTATCTTTTTTCTCTTTTATTAATAGTCTGTTATGGTTGCGTTGTGGCCTTGTTAAATTGCCAGTTTGCTTTCCTATGTGTACCTGTGTCTGTTGTGGGGAAAGTAAGGTAGAGAAAAGTGGGGTATAAAAACCTACTCTTCTTCTTCTTCTATTTCACCTTGCTTTGCTTGTATGTGAAGAGAGGCTGGGGTGTGGCACCATTGTTGTAGGAAGGTTGGGGGGAATGCAGCATTGTGGGAGATTTTTTTTTTAACAAAAATGCAGCCTCATGAACTTACCAGAAATTCTTACTGGAAGTGACACAGGGTAACTCTAGGAATCACCAGATGGTAAAATCATAGAATTTCCAGCAATTCTTAGAGCTACTCTGGAAGGGAAAGGGGAGCTCTAGGAATTACAGCAAACTCTATGATAGCATTTCCAGTTATTCCTAGAGCTATCCTTTGTCACTTCCTATAAAAATTTCTGATAACAACACTAGGCTGCATTTTCATGTCCATTTTTCTCTCACTGCTGCTTGGAGTGGTGGCAGGTAATGGGACTGGGGGCTTGGCAGCCCTAGCTTGTTGTCTATGCATGTACACTAGCAGCATGTTCTTCCAAAAAAGCAACAAAAAGAATGGTGCCTCTACAAGGACTTGCAAGCCAGCACCTGAGTTCCACAGCACACCTGAACATCCTGACCCATGGGCTGAAGACCACACGTTAAGGCTGAACTCCAAGGGAACAAGTCGGGGCTATTGGCTGTTATGAAGGCGATGGGAACAGAGCTCCTATCTTCAAAATATTGAAAAGCAAAAAAATCTATTTTCCCAAAGTGTGTCTGGCCTCCATATTAGACACAAGGGCTTCTAATTTGGTGTTTTAGACATATAGGTTTCTTGTTCACAGTTGCTGCGCAAGTAGTTTCTCTGAGCTAAATGCTCTTTGAATAGTAATCAGAAAAGCATCAGCCTGGACTGTTATTACTTCAGACTGCAGGCGGAGGATCAACTGTTGGTGTTTCTCTCGTTAAAACTCAGCCACTCATAGAAAACTAGCACTTCAATGATAAGACAAGGCTGGGCTAAGCTAGCTTTCTAGGGGCATTTTTGATATGTGAGTGAATTCATAGGCTTGATTCCCCCATCTATATTCTCAGATGGTATAGTCCTGGGATGATGACAGTGTCTGCCTTATTCTGCATGCCTAAATAAGCCTTCTCCTCTATGCTTTTCTTTCTTTTCTGTTACTGTTCATTCGACCCACCTCTCCAACAGCTGCTGAGAGTTTATGTTTAAGCAATTAATGGAAAGCTACCCACATAACGATAGGGTTTATGCAGTTGCTTTAGAATGTTTCCGTATTTCTACAACAGCAGCCAAAAATCTAGCGACCCTATATGGAACCCATCCATCTTCATTGCTCAGTAGCCTAGAAGTGTCAGCAGCTAGAGAAGCAAAATTTTTATGGGGGAGGGGGGGGGAAAATCAGCTCCTGTCTGAGTTTTTGAAATTCCAGGCAGCTTAAAAGTGTGTGGTCAATGGATTCGATGTGATTAAGGTTGCAATTGCATGTTCTCTCTTAAGTATGGAATACCAGCGTTATCTACCTGACAAGACTGCAGATGATGAAACATTAAAGATGCACCAATAGGGTTGCCAGTCCCCCCACATTTGCAGGCCCCAGAATGCCCCAAAATATAGTGCAATGATGTCACCCGGAAGGGACGTCATTGTGCTGCTGACGTCATGCAGTGACGCTCTAGTTTTGGGGCAAAACTCAAACCATAGGGTTTTGCCCCAAAACTAGAATGTTGCTGCACAATGACATCACTTCCTGGTGATGTCATCATGCTGCCCATGCGACACGCAAGGCAGAAGCTCCTGTACAGCTCCTGCATTCCCCCCACCAGCAGAAAGGTAGGACCTAGCAACCCTATGTGCCAACATAAAGGCGCGTCTATATTTAGGATATGTCCAATTACAAAAATATGTTGTGATACGAACTAGTAGGGGAATGGGAACTGGTAGGGGAATGCCAAAATAAGGCAGCTATGCATGTGTAAATAATCCTTATGGTCTATGCAAAATCTAACAGGCAGGGACAATGTCACCTCTTTGTTGTGCAGTAGAGCCTAGTGCTCTGCTGAAATGAAATGTTAATTGAAATGACAGTTATTTTTCACCCTCCGCTTCTTTCTGTAAGCGTAAAACCATTTCTTCAGTTTCATCCTTAACCTCTTCTTTTGGTGGCAGAATCCCAAAGTCTCTCAAAATGTCATTCCATTCTGTATCTTCATTTGGATCCTATTTATCAAAAAACAAAAACAAAACCCTAAATATCATTTATATTCTTCTTTATTTATTTCATGTTTGCCCCATCTTTCTCCCCAACAGGGATCCAAAGCAGTTGACGTCATTCTCCTCTCCATCATTTTATTCTCACATCAGCCCTGAGAAGTAGCTTAGGCTACTTAGTATCCTGGCCCAACGTCACCCAACAAGCTCCCATGGCAGGATGGGGGGCACAGCCAGGGTTTCCCTCATCCAAGTCCAATACTCCAGTCACTGCACCACGCTGATATTACTTGGGCCCCAGTCACTCTCTCGCTCAGTCTAACCTATGCCACACAGGGTGGTCATTATGATAAGGGGAGGACAATTTTGTAACCCATTTTGGGTCCCCAGTGTGGAGAATAGCGGGATATAAATAAAATAAAGTCACGTTTTTGACTAGCCACTTCTGGTGCTCTAAGTAGGCAAGAAAGTGGCTTACATATAAAGAAGCTAAATATACAATGCCATCTCAAAGCAGAGTCACACCCTTTTAAGCAAATTGATTTCAGTGGACTTAGAAAGATATAGCTCTTCTTAGGATGGCGGAGTAAATTAATAAGTACATAAATTGTTGGGCTTGTACGTGTTACAGTAAACATGGGCTTCTGACAAAAATGGCAGCCTCATAACATGGATTAAAAGAGAACCATATTCCTCCATCACCACTTTGATGTTCCGCAGGGCCTGCAAGACGGAGCTCTTCCACATGGCTTTCAGCTAGGGTGCCACCACCATTATAGAGCCCTGGCTCTTGGTTCTAACATCCAGCCGTAGGAAGATCTGGAGCAGAAGGATCTTTAGAGAGTACATTGAAAAGCCATCTTGAGTAACTATCTTCTGCACTTTATGCAACTGTATTAATAATGGAATTGTTTTATATGGTTTTATGTGGTTTTAACTGTATTTTATGTACTGACTGTGAGCCGCCCTGAGCCTGCATTGTGGGGAGGGCGGGATATAAATGTGATTAATAAATAAATAAATGATGCGTTTTTCCCTTTTTCAGCCAGTGGCAGTCAACATGTGAAACAGGAGTGAGGGTTTATATCCAGTTGGGACACAAAATTCATAAAGTGGTACCTTAATATTTTCAAAAGAATCACACGATGAAGCGTTAATTGTTTCATGTTTTTTTGACGGTTAGTTTGCTTGGGGATAACAGCCGTGCTGAGTAATTACCACAGGCTTCTGTGCAGCCTAAAAGAGCATGGATTTGTTCGCCGCAGGCTAATGTGCTGGTAGTTCAGCATGACTGGCAGGGGGAACGGCCCACTTTCTTGTGTATGTCCCCTGAAATTCAGGGTAGAAATGAAATATATGCAACACTTGTAAAATAAATGTATTTTACTAATTTAAACCCATAAAATGAATTAAGTAGAATTTAGTTATTCAGAACTGTACTGTTTGGCATATTTATAGGAAGCATAATGGCTTTGCTTTATTCAAACAATAAATCTAAAGGGCTCGGGGCTGATGGACCACTTCCTCCAACATGAGCTTACCCAAATGTTGAGGTCGGTTAATAAAGCCCTACTTTGGAGAGGCAAGACATAACAAGGCCTTTTAGTTGGTGGCACTTAGGTTGGGCCCTGACCTGGATAGCCCAGGCTAGCCTGATCTTGTCAGATCTCAGAAGCTAAGCAGGGTTGGCCCTGGCTAATATTTGGGTGGGAGACCTCCAAGGAATACCAGGATTGTGATGAGGAGGTAGGCAATGGCAGACCACCTCTGAACATTTCTTGCCTTGAAAACCCCATGGGGTTCGCCATAAGCCAGCTGTCCAAAGTTAGGACATAGTGATACACAAAGCATTAAAACAAAAACAAAAAAGGGGAAACATCACAAGGAAACCCTCATGTGGAAGTTACATTGCTGCTGCAGAATCAAAGGCATCTGCAACAGTGCAGAGAAGGCAACAAGGTCTGTTGTCTACTCAGACTGACACTGACTGTCCTGGGTCTTAGGCAAAGGCCTTTTGCATCACTCCGTTCTTTTAACTGTAGATGCCAGGGACTGAACCTGGGACTTTCTGTATGCAAAGCAAACACTCCACGATGGAGGCATAGCCGATCTTTGCAGCTCACATCACGGGGCTGTGTATTAGAAATGGTGACTAGCATGTTTTTGTTCAGTCGAGTACCTTCAAATCAGTCATTCACATTCCATCTTTCAGATTAAAAAAAAAATTATCCATGATAATTTCCCCCCCCCTAATGGGGACAATTTCCTAATGGTCTACATTTCTATACAATTTTAGTGGTAGTTAATAATGATAGACAGTGCTCTCTTAACATACTTAGAATAATCATCTGCGAACTTCAGCTTCTCTTCTGGGATTCTTACTGCATTCAGTTTCCCTCCCCCCTCTGTTTTTTCAACCATGCACAGGGAAATGTTGAATGGGGGAGAGCAGAGATGGAAGTCATTGGCTGGGCTGCAAAGGGCAAGGAGGGGGGGGATATTCATGCATTTCTGTGCAGGGTTGGTGTTGTTGCAGCACAGAAAAATTGGACCCATCTGAAGCAGCTGCACAACCATATGTGACAGTGCACACCCTTCAGATTGGCCTTCGTGGTTACTGTCACAGTGGGTGGGGGGTGCATGTGTAATGGCTCTCCCCACTTTTCTCCCCCCCCCTTCCTACTGGGTATTCCACCTCATTTTTCAGTAGCTTGGGGCCCTGGTTTGATCTGTATGCCTGAGAGGAGTGTGGATACTCCTGGCTCCCACCCCACTTTCTTCTGTCTGCTCTCCAACCCAGCCATTGTTTTTGTTTTGCTTTTGTGCTGTCAAGTCAAAGCTGACTTATGGCAACCCCATAGGGTTTGCAAGGTAAGAGACATCCAGAGGCGGTTTGCCATTGCCCGCCTCTGCATCACAGCCCTGGTATTCCGTGGAGGTATCCAATCCAAATTCTAGCCAGGGCCGACCCTGCTTAGCTTCTGAAATCTAACGAGTTTGGGCAGGCCTGGGCTATCGGGGTCAGGCCAACCCAGCCTAACCAGGAGATTGTAGAGTATGCATGGAAGAAACAGCCAGATGCACAGGTGAGGCTCTTTGAACACTGTGAATTTTTAACAGGACAAGATCTTTATTCACTATAACACAGCTGTACAATCTAGAGCACACATATATAGGGAAAAGGTATATCCCTGCACTAAGGACTGTTGCAGAACTGAGGAAGACAAAACACTCGACACTAGTTTAGGCTTTAGAGACACAGGCCCAATCTGCATTTGCTATGTAAATCCGTTTCATTCTGCTGAGGCACCAGCTTCCTTTGCTTTCCATTTGGCTCAGTATAAAAAGCTCGCCATCTGCATCAGGACAGAGGGAGAGCACGTGAGAGAGGGGGGAAGAGCG